ACGGAGCTGAGACGTTCTTCTTGGTGTGTCTTTTTTTTCTTTTTCTGTTTTCTTGTTTGTTTCTGTTTTTTAAAAAAAAATATATATATACATATATATATACATATATATATCGGTTCGATCAGCACAACCACAGGGGCCGTGGCCTCAGTGTAGGCGCCAGCCACGCAGAGAGCGGCAACACCCCACACAAACAAGCAGCACTAGCAGTACAGCTCACAGCAGCAGCAGCAGCAGCAGCAGCAGCAGCAGGCATACACAGAAGCAGCATAAACACCAGCTGGCTGCTTCAGCAGCACCAACACACGTACGCAGCAGCAGCAGCTGTCGGCAGCAGCAGCAACATACATAAACAGCAGCAGCAGCGACAGCAAAAGCTGTTGTCTCACCCAGACAGACTCAGGCACAGCAGCAAATTCCGAAGCAAACGCCCCTTCTGCTGCCACAGCAGCAGCAGCAGCAGCAGCAGCAGCAGCAGCAGCAGCAGCAGCAGAAGCTTGAAGGAGAATGACGAACACAGACTCAGGGGCTGTGTCTTGCCCCTGGCTTGAGAGTGCAGCTGCTGGCGAGGAGCCTGTGTTTTTTTCGGTGAACAACAAAACTTTTATTTTGCGGCGAATGAAAGCAGCAGACTACCCAGCAGTCCGCGCGTTGCTGCCGCAGGTGAGCCGCTGCTACCAGCAGCTGCAGGAGCCGCAGCTATCTCAGGTCCTTGGGCTGCATACATACATACCCTTCTGCTGCTTTGCTGCAGCTCCCGACTCACCACCACCACCACCAGCAGCAGCAGCAGGAGCAGCAGCAGCAGCAGCAGGAGCAGCAGGAGCAGGAGCAGCAGGTGTTACAAACGGGTGCGCGGCGAAGCAGCCTGCGTGTGAGGGTCCTCTGTGTGGCTTTGCTGAGGTGTATGTACTGCCGCACCTGGGGCGAGCAGCAGACGGGAGACTGGAGAGGGTGATAGTAGCGGCGGAGCTGCGGGGGCAGGGGCTGGGCACCGCCATGTGTAGAGAGGTGCTGCGGTTCTCTCGGCTGCAGCTCGGCCTCGGCCGCGTTGACTTAACCGTAGAAAAAGAAAATGCTAAACATATTTATACCAAGCTGGGGTTCGAACCCGTGAGCACCGAAACGCTCCGCTTGCAAAACTAAAAAATTACGAAATTTTCTACACACACACTCAGT